CTGCGGAACCGCCTCTTCTTCCTTCCGAACACGGTGAAGGCGGGTTTCCTTCCATGTCATTTTCACACAGTTCCAGTGCTCTTCCACACAGGTCTCTTCAGGGATACTGCTCAATGTCTCCCATTTCGTTCTCATGGCTGACTGACATGAACGTCAAGATGTCTCTTGTAGTTTCGTCCTTCAGTTCATTTTCTCTTCTTTCTGGGTGTTCAACTTGAATTGTGGTCTATCACCAGCTACTTGCAATTGAAGGCTTTCAACTTGATTTTGAAGACAGGTTGCTTGCACTGGATAATGAGTGGTCTGGACCTACATCTGCTCTCCTGCTTGATCTGATCTTCTGTCCAGTGGGCTGCGTCTCCATCTCCACCTTCTTCACATTCAGATGGAGTCGATCTGATTTTCAGTGTAGTGTCCATCTTGTCAAATCCATGTCACTTTGTGAGTATCCTTGTGTTTGTAGACACTGCCTCCAACCACCGAATCGTTGAATGTGCAGAAATCGGCAAACAGTTCTCCATTCTCATTCATCATTTCACTGAGTGCTTGCTTCTCTACCCATGATCCGTTCTCTTCCTGTGTTTTCCCCTCCAGTTTGGCATTCACGTCACCACACACATTGGAATTTTGATGTCACCATCGCCGTCGTCATCTGAGGTCTTGTCCAGTGTTGATTGCAGTTGTCTGTAGAATTCCTCCGTCTTCTCTTCGTTTGCACTATTTGTAGGTGCGTAGTGTAACATTGGCATTGTATGATTGTGACTTTGCTTCCTCTTGAGATGAACCTTGTTGTCATGATCCTGAAGGAGGAGACTAGCTTGCATGAATATTTTGGGGTTGAGATATGACCAGCATTCTAGACACAAAAGTGTAAGAAAACACAAGATAACTCCAGAAGTATACACATCTCTTTCTACTTCCTATTACTCACATTATTCATGGGAAGATAGTAACGGAAAAACATATTCACGTTCTATAGCCTTCTACAAAACATTGTTACACATGAGTGGTAGTCCCTGTATGAAACGCGTTTACAATAGTTCCTTATTACCAGTTGCAGATTGTGTAAGGTCACAGGATTGCAGGAAACATCGTGTTGCCTACACAGTCTATCGATGACGGAACTGCAATCCTTTTCGTCTTATTAACTAACCGTCTCAAATAAGCCATTCTCCAACAGCATTGATGGTAAATATCTACCAATACACCTCATTATCTTGAACATATATCATATGTGCCTCCAATCTATCACAATAGAATGCTGAACATTACTAATAATGTAGAGAGTTGATGGAAATTTCGTCATGCCTATAAACGGACGCAACCTCGCCTGGTTAACTAGTTTACTAGTTACTAGCCGGTCCTAAGCCCGGGTAAAGAGGGAAGGTTGGGCATAGGGCTAGCAACCCTACCCCGTAAAACAAATCTAACCGCTAAAGAAACTTCAAAGCACAAACAAAATATAAAAAATGAAAACAAACTTATTCCCCGCTGGAATCGGAGAGGCGAAATGACGCCAGTTGGTGAAAGCCTTCGGGAAGCCAATTGGCCGATGTGTCTTCTCTCGATGAAAGCGAAAGTAAACGTGGGGACATGGAATGTCCGCACGATGTTTGAACCCAGTAAGGCAGCCCAGATTGCAAAGGAGATGAGAAGGTATCACATCGAAGTGCTTGGGATTTGCGAAAGCAGATGGAATGGGAGTGGACTCTCCAAACTGTCAACTGGAGAATCAATAATCTACTCCGGTCACCCAGACGCCAACCACGAGCACACTGAGGGAGTGGCTATCATGATGTCCTCAAGAGCATCGAAGGCTCTCATGCAGTGGGAACCAATCTCCTCTCAGGATCATGACAGCAAGATTCAACTCAAAAGGAAGAAAGGTCACAATCATACAATGTTATGCACCTACAAATAATGCAGAGCAAGAGAAAAAGGAGGATTTCTACAGACAACTTCAATCAACACTGGACAAGACGTCAGTTGGCGATATCAAAATTCTAATGGGCGACATGAATGCCAAACTGGGAGGGGACAACACGGGAAGAGAACTAACCATGGGTCGAGAGGCGCTAGGTGAAATGAATGAGAATGGAGAATTGTTTGCAGAATTCTGCGCATTCAACGATTTGGTGATTGGAGGCAGTGTGTTCAGGCACAAGGATATCCACAAAGCGACATGGACTTCACCAGATGGACACACTAAAAATCAAATCGACTTTATCTCAATCTCAAGAAAATGGAGACGCAGTCTACTTAACACAAGGTCAAGAAGAGGAGCAGATGTAGGTTCAGACCACTATCTAGTGCAAGGAACCTTCCAAATCAAGTTAAAAGCCTTCAAGGAAGCTGGTGATAGACCTCAATTCAAGTACAACACTCGGAAACTGAAGGATGAAACTACAAAGGAGATCTTCAAGGCAGCCATCAAGACAAAATGGGAGACGTCGAGGGACATCCCTGAAGAAACCTGTGTAGAAGAACACTGGAAGTCTTTGAAAGCTATGTGGAAAGAAACCTGCACAACAGTATTAGGAAGGAAGAAGAAAGAAGACAAGGAATGGATCTCGACGGATACCTGGAAGCTGATAGAGGAGAGGAGGATGGTGAAGCAGAAGATAAACCAGTGCAAGGATGCTCAACGACAAGAGGAACTGAGCACAATGTATAAAACACTGGATAAAGAAGTGAAGAAGAGTGCACGCAAAGACAAACGACACTTCTACGACACACTGGCAAGTGAAGCAGAACAGGCTGCAGGTAAGAGAGACCTGACGACATTGTATCAAATAACCAGGTTGCTATCAGGGAAGAGACCAACACAGATGAAACCAATAAAAGATGAAGAAGGAAATTTAATTACAAAAGAAGAGAAACAGAGGAAACGATGGGCCGACCACTTCAAGAAGCTCTTGAATCGACCACCACCTGCACTTCGTCCAGAAATACCACCTGCAGCCGCTGAATTACAAGTGAACATTAATCCCCCAACGAAAATGGAAGTCCTGAACGCCATAAAGCTACTGAAATGCGGGAAAGCAGCAGGACCAGATGGAATACCGCCAGAAGCACTGAGAACAGATGCAGAGACAACAGCGGACATGCTCACACCACTATTGCAGAAGGTGTGGAGGAAGAGAAGGTACCTGACGATTGGAAGAAGGGTTACCTTGTCAAACTGCCGAAGAAGGGAGACCTCAGTGCTTGCAAGAACTGGCGCGGAATCACTCTCCTGTCCACCCCAAGTAAAATATTAAGCCGCATCATCCTGGAGAGGCTTAAAGACGCACTGGATTCAAAACTGCGACCGGAACAGGCAGGCTTCAGGAAGTACAAATCATGTGCAGACCAAATTGCAACGCTTCGTATCATCATAGAACAGAGCATAGAATGGCAATCAGCTCTCTACCTCAACTTCATCGACTTTGAGAAGGCCTTTGACAGCGTCGACCGAGAAGTAATTTGGAAACTGCTTCAATACTACGGAGTACCGCAAACCTTTATCCGCCTCATTCAACAACTATATGAAGATGCCACATGCCAAGTAATCCACAATGGGAAGCTCAGTGATGCCTTTGAAGTGAAGACAGGAGTGAAACAAGGTTGCCTACTATCCCCCATGATATTCCTGATTGTGGTGGACTGGATCATGCAGCAAACAGTAGGCAGCGAGAAGAGGGGGATACACTGGACGACGGAAAAGAACCTAGAAGACTTGGATTTCGCCGATGACTTGTGCCTAATGTCACACAAACTTGAAGATCTGCAGGCAAAAACTAACAAGTTGATAGAAGAGGGCAGCGAAGACGGGACTTCAGGTGAATATAGAGAAGACAGAAGTGATGAAGATACCGCACCACCAACAACAACAAACTCCAATCACCGTCAACGGGAGAAACTTGAAGGAAGTAACCTCCTTCACTTATCTAGGAAGCACTGTTTCAACTACAGGCGACGGGACGGACGAGGACGTCAAAGTCAGAATCGGAAAAGCAAGACAGGCGTTCATTAGCCTGAAACCAGTGTGGAGATCTTCTGCACTCAGCATGTGGAACAAGATACGGATTTTCAACACCAACGTCAAGTCAGTGCTTCTGTATGGCTCAGAGACTTGGCGCGTCACGAAAGGGATTTCCAATAAACTACAGACATTCATCAACAACTGCTTACGCTGCTCGCTACTGAAGATCAGATGGCCAGAAAGAATAAGCAACAAGGAACTCTGGGAACGAACCAACCAAGAACCTATCACGCAACAAATATGCAGGAAGAAGTGGAGATGGATTGGCCATGCACTGAGAAGGCCGACTGAGGACATCACGCGTCAGGCCAGTTGCTCGAGTGGAATCCCCATGGGAAGCGACGAGTTGGACGTCCGAGGGTGACATGGAGGAGGTCATGCGAAGAGGAAATGAGAGGTTGTGGGCTGTCGTGGAACCAGGTTCAAAAGATCTCAGAGAACAGAGGTCACTGGAGGCGTGCTACTGAAGCCCTATGTTCCACTAGGAACCCAAGGGACTAATAATAAAAAATAATAATAATAATATAAACGGACGCATTAAGCATGCAACAGAGGTGCAATTCCTAAGATACTTGTCAGCAGTTTATGCAGGATACCGGCTGTTCATTTCACAGGTATGCTTTCATATACAAATTGATTCATTCACTGGAAAATAATGCATGACATATACAGATGTTAGCACTATCCTACTTATTCCACACTCTTTTCGACCACTTTACTCAAAGTATATCTAATTCATAATTTCGAGAATGATTTACTGATGAGCTACACTACAGTACACAGATAAATGTTGCACTTAGGTTTGTGCGTAACACACTGATAATCATATTGCCTGCAATGCTTGCACTTTGATGATATTGGCTGTGACACTGAAATTTATACGCACACATAACCATGATCAAAATGAATTCTACTAATTAACAACACGGAAAACCGATTCACAATAAGCATGGGAACACAACTTCAACAAAGTAGATCTTGAATAAATATTTATTACTGTTCACTCGATATCAAAATATAAACACAAAGTACATACAACGAAGAGAACTTTAAACATATCGATTCTCCTTTCCATTCACTTGTAATCTGGGCAGCATCATTTCAGTGAGGAATGTTGGAATTGATTTCAACAAGTTGAATGCATCTGTCAGACTCTGTAATGGAAGATAGAAAAGAAGGGAGGTTAGTTTATCGATAGGCATTGAATCAGATGTGTATAGAGGAGGTTATCAGCTGAATAGTATCAATGTGCTGTGAAATCAGTCAACCCTGTTGACTAAATCGACTTACACAAACAATTATATAGTACTGCTGAACTATTGTTCCACATGTAACACGTTTCAGTGCTCACAGTAGAGTTCTTCAGTCTCCATTTCATTAATATGACAATGAGCTCAGGTGAATGATCCTAAACTCTATCTGTATACTAATGATGAACAGCTCATATTGTTATAGACTGACAGTGGATAGCAGTGGGTCATTCTAAACCATGAGTGTAAAGTGAAGTTGTGGTGAAATTGACTGACGACAATACATCTACATCCGGCAGTCCATATTTCGACTGCACACAGTGGTGGTAATCAGATGATATCAGTGACGGAGATGTTTGTTGTCACTCTGGTTGTATATCGTGTATATCGTGCAGGAAGGCTTAGTGAAGCACAAAATCAACACCATATCCTAAGACAAAGTGTTTGCTTACACCATTACTTCGTTCTTACCACAGATTCATCATATACTTCATGGAATATTACACCAGTCATTGAACTACTCTGTTAGCACAATATATACTAAACACCACATCCATGCATGTCGTTGTTGTTGATAAGATTCACGATTTCACTATGAGAGATCTTTTCGTTCTGTGACTAGCTGTGTACATGTGAATTTGGGGATGACGATATCAGGAATTATCACCGCCGTGAGAGTATCCTTCGCTTACGGAATCATCCATTCAGATAAACTGATTGAGGATAATGACGTCTGGCATCAGTGCAGATGACAACACCCTATCACACACTTATAACTTCATCATTCTCACACAGTCAATAAATATAAAGTAGTCTGATTAAACGTGGAAGCATTTCAAAGCATATAAAAGAAAACAAAAAAACAGTGAGGTTGGAATAGTTCGCTTACTGTTTGTCTTCTGGCCACTTGCAGGTCACTTGTAGGACTGGACGAGATTTCTATAGCATGTGTGAAAACGTTGGAATCTGAAGAGAAGGAGAATAAATTATTTTTGGTAAACATCCTTATGTTTGATGACACTCACCCATACATCCTGGCCAATACATTTTGAGCGAGTAGAAAATGACTTGGAAACTACGCAGACTTCATCGCACATCTGACTGTTAAATACTCTTCATATCTTTAGCACATTATTTCATTGGTAGGGTAATGACCAATGCGAACTCGGTGGTCAGTTTTATTTCCACCAATCCTCACTGTGTGTGTATGTGTGTGTGTGTGTGCATATTACTGAATACATCTGTTCACTTTATGATACCATGGATTAATGATGATATTTTGGATAGTTGAACAAACCAGTGACAAATTTAGATGGTATTGAAGATGATTAGGCAAATATCTTATGTTTGTGAAGTGGTAGGTTGGAAGTACTGGTGGGACTAACCCAATTTTATCAATGCGTTAGTCACTTACTCTTGCTTAATGACGGAAACAACCATACTTGGGGTAAAGATAATAGTAGTGAAGCTAATAACCATGATTTGAATTAAATTCCCCTTGGGAATAATTTTCAATCGAAATCACGAAGTTGTGACCATTCAATGACTCTTTCTGAATAACACAAAATTAGACGAACTCAAGTTAAATACAGACTTGATTTTACCAACCTGAAAGATAGTTTTCCGATAATAATACTGCTCTCTACAGAGTTGTGAGTCATCATTTAGATGGACTGTGAAGTGAACGTGAAATCCCCTGTAACACAATGAACCAAGTGACCAATTCAAAGTTATGATTGAGGTAAACTAATATCAGGTGATTTTCACTGTGAGTATAATGAGTTTGACTTTCATAGACCGACTGATGCATGTAACAATGTGATTTGGCTAGAAATTCTCAACCTCACACCTCAAGTGTAATGAACAAGCTGCATATAGCTTGAATATGATCTCATGTTCCTGTGTGTTATCACAAACATATTTAATGAATGAATGTCACATGGAAAGCTTCCTTATGAAGGCTTGCATAGATTTATTTATACACTGTTGGGTGAAGGAAAACAGTTGATCGTTACAGTGAACAGAATATTCCAACAGCAATTCACTTCTCGTACCATCGTTCTACCGACATTATGAAAAGGCATAATTAGTGGAGGAAGCTAGGATTGGTGAAGCGTGGAATTGAATTTTCAGCACTTTGTTATGATCTTCTTATGCCGGTAAATATATACTCACGAGAGTTAGAAAAAGTTGCAGTTGACGAACCTATGATTAGGTTACATTCACAATTTCTTCCTTCATACATTTATTCGATTTTTAAACAGCTACTGTCCGTAACCAGATTTATGCAGAGTAGAATTACAGTCAAATGATGAAGATACTCTATTAGATATGTTTGTGACTAGATGGTAGTTGAGCTTTAGAAGAAATGGAATGGCAAACGTCACGACATCTCTCTCAACTTTCACACAGATTACTTCACGATTCTGACATCTTCCAAACTCTTGATAGCTGTAAAGCATTTGTAAAGCCTCCTGAACACTAACTAGATTGCTTGCTGTTTGCCCAATCTCACATGTTATGATCACTGGTAGAATTACTGCCTGATATATTGGGGAAATTGAAATGGTTGTAGAGATTTTGTGGTATGAAATCAAGTTCAAGTGTTTAAGCTAGGCAGGTGGATGCCAACTATCAAGAAGGTGACAGTTTCTCACCATCATGACAGTGCCACTTGTTGGAACAGCTTCATGAACATCAGATCTATGATGACCACAAATTCAAGTGGTAACATGGAGTATTTGAATTCAAAAGAGACAGGTAGTGTTTCAATCGAATATGCCAGTGTGTGTCCGTACTCAGAAACTTACGAAAGGAACGGTATACTTGACGGGTCTAATTTTCTTTCAGTGAGAAATAATAACACACTATTGTGTTCTGTTGAAAGATATTCCAGTGTTGTTCTGACAGTTGTGATGGAGGATGCTATTCCTGTCGTTTCCATACTACATGCACCATCAATTCAAATCCCACCTAGAGTAGGTATGGGTTATGATAGCAAAAGTGGTCAAGTTTACATGAATACGTCGAAGATCAATTTGTGTGTAACGAGGTGACTTCAAAGTCTCACTTGTTATTTGTCTCCACTTAAAATTCATAATATTTAAGGAGATGACATTGAAGTGTTGGTGAATACATTATTATACTATCAGCTCTATGTTTGTGTCGTTAATCTGGTGTTCGCTGACCATCTGGCGCCTGAATGTTGTTCCAGACATCCTTCCTTGAATGTTTGGCTCGACAAAGGTTATTCTGACCAATGTAGGTAGGACACAATAGAAGTGTGTGTTTGTGAACGAATTTATGATAGACCAGGTGTTTTTATCTGCTCAAAGAATCTACGGTGTGATGCCACAGTCTTTTTGACTAGTAGGGTTGTTGTCACTCACCATCGTACTGAGGATAATAGAATTCAATACCAGATAGGTAGTTCCCTTGAAGACTCCCAAAACAAATGCTTGCAATCGACGTGCTTACACAGACTTCCGCAATGTCCAACACCACTGTGTAGACACAAGTTTTGACACCAGTCAATAGCCATTACCAAAACTTTCCTCTCACATTTAATCCTACATGAAAATATTTGCAAACTGTATGGGCTAAATTCCATATATTTTGGGATAACATGAGCGCATACTATACATGAAATGGAGTATGATGAGGAGTTTGACCTTAAACTGACAACAGACAGTTTTTGTCTTATTTAACTAGTCGTTTACCAAACCATGTTTGTGAAACTGCTTTGGAAGTTTAGTTATATACATTTGGTGATTTGTGAAAGTGACTGTCAAGAATTTTGAAAAGTGGCAAGTGTATAAGAGAAGGGAGGGGAACTGAGGAAAGTTTGCTGGTGATTTGTTATTGTTGGATTTGAGTCATATTGTGTGATAAAGCTTGTACAACGTAATGCATACAGTAATACATTTCCATCACAGGTACCGATAAGTGTCCGTATTGGAATGAATGGATGGGAGGAGAGAAGATACTGTCGTTGAAATGTATTGGCACTCTATGATTTTGACTTTGCTTTCTCTTGAGTCGAACCCTGCTGTCATGATCCTGAAGGAGGAGACTAGCCCTTACTGCATCAGACAGAACCTCCGATGCTGTTGGACACATCATGATAGTCACTCAAAAACTCAGTGTACTCATGGTTGTCGTGTTGCCTGTGTGACAATATCGGAGTAGATTATTGACTCTCCTCTCCAGTTGACAGTTTGGAGAGTCCACTTGCATTCCTTTCCATCTGCTTTCGCAGATTCTCTGCCTGACACTTCTATGCTATACCCTCTCATCTCTTTGACAATCTGGACAGCCTTGCTAGGTCCATACACTGTTAGGATATTCCATGTCCCCATCCTCACTTTCGCTTTCATCGAGAGAAGAGAAGACACATTGGGCAGTTGGCTTCCCGAAGACATTCAGTAATCGGCGTCATTTCGTATTTCTGATTCCAGTGAGGAATAAGTTTATTTTTATTCTACATATTTTTTCTGTGCTTTGAAGTTGCTGTAGCGGTTGGTTTTGCAGGGTAGGTTTACTAGCCGTATGTCGAAGCTTCCCTCTTTATCCGAGCTTATGACAGGCTAGTAACCAGTCAACTAGTTACCTAAGCGAGGTTGTATTTATGGTATCATTCGATAATATTCTCAATTTTGTTATTTTTGACAGTTTCCTCATTTCCGTATGTTATTGTAGTAGTGAAATATTTTCTTTTCAATTTTTCGTTGTAATTATTCGCGATTGTAAGAAACTGATGAGAAACAATTAAATAACAAAATGAGGACACGATTAACTCGTGAATTCTTTGATATACAAAAAGAATATTTAGGATCCATTATTCATGAGTTTAGGCTTTACGCAGAATGTTATTCTCTGTAATTCCTCTTTGTGGATTGGACAGAACTGATCGGTTTCCGTTGGTGTATGGGATCTTGCATGGATCCCTCAATATTACTTGTAATTTCAGCTTTCTACTAATGAATCATATTGGCTAGTATTAGGATAAAGGAATACCATAAAAACCATACCATTGGTATACGGAGTGATTCACTGACCTACTGGATAACGCTCTGCTGATTGAAGTGATCAGTTCTAGGTTCCATAGAGAAACAGACAGACTAAATCAATGCATAATCTGTCGCAAAAGTTCATCGGTTCAAGTTGCCACACGTCCCAGTAGCATGCAAAGGACAGATAGGTATGAAAGGACATATCGAAATAAACAAAGGTGTATAGGAGGACAGAAAGTTTAGAAAGTAAGATTAGTCAAAACATTTAAGCTTTCAAAGACGTGAAATATTCAATATATCAGCATGATTTCAAACGATTTTCAACCATGTCATCAGTAGTCCCCAACCAATAACATCTATCACCTCAGGACCACAGTTAGTAGTCAACGACTTCATGCACTAGTGTGACATCTCGGTCTGACTGCAATGAACACTCTTTCAACCCAATCCAACTCTTTCCAGCATGGTACGTCAAGGTAGGTCATGGGTTGACATATGCAATACATGCTGAAGCCATCTCAGTCACTGAAGGTTCATAACCTTGTCGACTGACTTCCCTGTCTTGCCTGGTATCCGTCGCCTGACCTCATGATTACTCACATGGTCATTTCACCAAACGCGACCAATCCTATGGTGACATCTACGATCAAAACCTTGCAACCGCCTTATGTCTCCTACTTTTAATGGCCATGCTTCATCCGTATGACAGGAAAGACTGGACTGTGGCTCATTCTACTTTACTTCTGGCAGACAGTCAGTTATCTCGCTAGTCGCCACCAGAAACCGCGCAAGTTAGTAAAAACTAGGCAGAACTTCTTCATCTGAGATGAGGCTTCATCAGCAACCAGTCCATTCGTGCTAATGCAAATATCCAAGTTGGTGAAATGGTCGACAAGTTCCAGCACTTTACTCCCTATCAGTGAGAGTAGCTGAAGACTAGTCATGGAGCATCATTTTACATGTAACACTTGTGAAATGCATACCACCCAAACATAATCAAATTTCTGCTCGACGCATCCATAAGACCCTGTCTGCATTTAGTCAGCATCTTCATCT